AGAGTCACGCTGTTTTTATAAAACAACCCTAAAAGCTTCAAACTTTACTTCTAAGTTATTAACCCTGGCACTCTCCAGATCTCATTGGTAATTCTCCCTACGGTCTGCCATACAATTCACATTACGTTGATTTAAAGAATTTAGTATTGGATCAACTAATGATCCTATAATTGATATTTTTCGTTATTCCAATCACTAGCCTGCCTGATATTGTATTGATATTGTAAGGAGAAATTCTGTCTTGGTCACTCATGGGATTTAAAGGGTGAAAAAAGTTCACGTTTCTCAGTACGACCAAACGATGCATGTTTCCGCTTCACGCAAAACAGCAATTTCAGAAAACAATGCTACACTAGAAGATTTAAAAAGCGCACAGGATGAGGTTCTTCCTACAACTCAGGGCAAAATGGCTATGGTTTCCGCGAAACAAGACCCATAAGGTCATCCGAAAGCTACATATAAGATATTTTACATAAACTTCGTTTTACAGGCAAAATGAAAGAACCCGTTCCACAACTCAAAAAAGTTCATTAAGTTTGTTTGCCGTTTTCAAGTTAGTTGCACAAAGAAGGCTGGTTAAACTATACTTAACCTCTAATAATCTTATGATGTTTACATTGGCATAATCTTCCTCTGCAAGAGGCTGCTCTACAGAAAGCAAAATGACGCTTCACGTAGCATGTTTTTTTAACGCCCCTAAGTACTTGCACTAAATTTAAAACAGTTCTTACGTTAGAATTTGGAAATCCCACAGAGAGGGCAAAGAAAGAATTACGAACGTTCTAAATCAGGATAGAATCTGTTAAATCAAGAATTCCTACCTTTTCGGTTCCTCTTTTTTTCTCCCTCTTAGAATTATATCTACTCATACGATCAGCATTTATCTTTTCCCAATAAGATTTTTCTTCCTCCTCTGCAAATTCAAAGATAAAAGGTAAAACAAAAAAGCTAAAATCGCTTTTAAAGAGCGTTAATACGAGATGGAAACATTTCAAAGTCTCCTTGCAGTTACTGTGAGAATTCTAAAAGGTGAGGTACTCCCTTTTCCTCTTCAATTTGTCATCATGCAATCATCTTGTTACCACGTACTTCGGTTTTCGAAGTTCCTCGACTTTTCTCAATTGCGATAAAGTTTCTCTCCCATAATTAATCAAAATTGTTAATTGAACATGTACTAGTAGCGTCTGGTATCACCTTACAGCCGTCCATTCTACCACCAAATAATCTTTTTCGTTCAATTTTCCGAAAAAAGTTTTCCAGGCCTTTCATACTGTAGTGTAACTTGCGTGGTAGGCGTGCGGCGAGAGCAGGACTAACGCGCACGTACGAGAACACACGCGGGTGCTTTCAAATTTTCATTTTCCCCAACTTTCCATCGAAACTTTAAGGTTTTATTTCTCCAGACCTCTAGTAAGGTTATTAAAATTACCCGTCAGTTTGTTGAGCTGCAGTTCATCGTTTGCAGATGACATTTTTTTCAGCACCAAGTTACAATTTTCTGCCGTATGAAAACGAACATAACCCTGCGAAAATTAAAAAAAATGTGTTTCAATAATGATCTTACATTAAACAGATTCTCGGCTAGAAATATGCTGGGGTGGGAGGGAGCGCGGGCTCATTTCCCAAACAGCGGTTACTTAAAGAACCTAACTGGAAGAGCAGTCGCGCTATTGTACATGGCATGACGTAATTTGAAATTTTGCGCCTTCCCTCTTACATACTGCATGAATGCTCGGCCCAGCAGCAAACCAAGGAAATAAAAAAGAAATGTCAAAAAGTGATGATGTTAGAGGGAATTGTGTAAACCATGTCAATATAATCATGTCACGGTTATTTAGGAAAGATTTACCTTACCTCAACACTGCCTTCTTCTAGATCTAAATACGCCACGGGAGCAGACCATGAAATTTTCTCCTACGATTACAAATTGGAAAAAGGAAACGCTCATAATTTATCCATGACCTTGTGTGTTTAAGAGAAGCGAGTACAAAAAAGAAAAACAACATGCATTTTTCGCCCTAAATATTTATAACAAAGTGCTCCGCTTATATTTGAACCAGCGACATCTGCGATGTCCGCACAGGTACTGTATCAAGTTATCCAGGTCTGATTAAATGAACACAGCGGTCAAACGAGAGAGGCATGTGCAAGGAGATAAACTTTTACCGGCCGCACGCTGATTTCCCGCGCAAACTTTCAATGGGAAGCATAAGAAACAACTGCTTTCAAGCAAAACCCCCCATCGTGTTTTGAGCTTTATCAAAAAAGTAACACACTTTTAGAACACCGTGACTTACTAGCTTATGCAGCTGTTTGAAACTCGTGTGAAACAACTTGGCTCTGGAAGCCTGAAAGCACACCACCTAGTCATTACAATGTCGCACATGCACAGAAGTTTGACTGCTGCGTTCCGCTAGGCAATCTTATTTCCTCTCACCCTCAACTCTTTTTTGGTCATTCCACGACCTTGACAATGGAACTTTAACAAAACTCCTGGAGTGTACGATAGCGTCTTTACAGTTGCGCCACCATCTTGTGAGGACTTTTCTTCGGTCTCCTTATATGACGCATCAGCTCTGTTTTGTGTTGACTTTAGAGGTTTGTTTCCAGCTTGACTGGAGTTGACGGGAATTTTTTCTTGCAGTTGTTTTTTCAAGTTCTTCATGGCTTCGCGTTGCAGGGTTTTATACTCCTTTTTCAGCTCGAGCCATTCTAACCTTCAGAACAAACAAAAAATAATGAACTCTTAATTCCGCTCAGTGCCACTCAGCATTCAGCAAAAAATTAACAATTTCAGTCATTAGAGAGTTTTGCATTCGAACTTTCTCGAATCAGGTAAATATGCCAAATGTCATGGAACTCTGTTCTAAATCCTCATAAATTATTCCCAAAAAACTTCGCGAATTCACTTAATTCGGAATGATTAATCATTCCCTTGATTTTTCTTTGTAAAAGGAAAAAGTTTGATTAGAACAGCATAAAAAGTGTCGTGGTCAACATTCAACTCTCCCAAATATATCACATGAAATCAGGCGAAAAAAACTAAAGAGAATTTATGTTATGAACAGAACAGAATGTAAACTAACTTACTTAGAGATTACTCTTAAGTGTGGTAATTTATTTTCTTTCTTCTCCTTCTTTTTCCTCTTCCTTTTCTTGTGTTTCTTGTCTCCCTCAACAGTTTCATCTTCGCCACTCTCCTCAGAAGCCTTTTTCGAGGTCATATCCGACTTGTCAATCATCTTCTGTCGTTTCTGCTCCACGCTCTCTTCGCCGCTTGTAGAATCATCATGGGATCTTTTGCGAGATTTTTCCCCGCTCTCCTTTTTATCGCTGTTCCGTTGTTCATCATCTTCCTGCCACCGAACAAACTTCTTTCCCTTTTTATCCTTTCCGTCCGCGTCTCTCCATCCCTTCTCTCCATTTTCTGCTCTTTCACCGCCATCTTGTTCAGTCTTCTTACATTCTTTACCTTTTCTTTTGCCTCCATCACTCGGCCTCACATCTATCAGCGGCTCGTTGGCCTCAGAATCTACCGAAGATTCACTTGTAGTTCTCTTCCTCTTCCTTTCACGGCTGGTTTTTTGTCCGTCCACTTCTGACTCGCTATGAGAGCGTTTTCGTTTTGGTTTCGTCACCTTGTGTTGTTCATTTGACTGTTCAGCATTGACACCATTTTCACTCTTTTCTGGTTCACTACTTTGTTTTATTCTTCCTTCTTTGTTAAAAACCTGCAAAATGTTATTCCAACCTTAAAATCTTCTTATCTATAAACCATTTATCCCAACAGGTGACCATAAATTCCAGTTCTAGCTAATCTTAAGACTTGAATACAGGAAACTTGTTTTCAAGCGCTTTTAACATCGAAAGAAAAAGTATCATAACAGCCAATCAGACCCAGGGTTCTCCCTTATTTTAAGCATGACAGGTCAAAAAAAGTTTTCAAACAGGTAAAGCAATCCTTTTACTTGTTGAATTTTCAAGAATTCCAAGCAATTTTAAACGGTATTAAGAGGTACTACAGGCGGTAAATGTTACCGGTTACTGCCTGAAAAGGAGAACACTGCGAACCAAAGAAAAATATGACAAGGAAACAATGAGGATTCAAGAGTATACTACCAGAAAGCGCGGGAAAACGCGACTGAATGAAATAAATCATGTTCAGTTATTGGAGAAAAAAAAAACAAGTACCTCAACTGCTTCTTGAGCCACCTTAGCAGATTCAAATTCTACAAAGGCAAATCCTTTGATGTCTCCAGTGTGTTTGAATCTTGGGATGCTAAAAGATCATTGACAGAAAAAAAAATTAACACATTATCCTCCATTAGTGACTGAGACAGAATTTCTACTCAGAATATTATTACAATATCAAGCAGACAACTGACAAAAATAAAGAAAAATATCAATTAGAGGGAAATTATTGATCGAATAGCAAAATTATCATGACTCCTGACGTGATAGTTAATTTTCCCCTCCAGCTGCTACACATTTCCTTACAAATTAGTTAAAAGAATTTGGTTATAGATCAAGATAACAATTTATACCTGATAAGCAATCCAGACTGCAAGCCAGGCTTTTAAACAAGTTTGGCTAACTCAACTGTCGTTAATCCTTTAATTTCCATTAGTAAGACAGAATTTCCCCTTACAAAATCATTACAACATCAAGCAACAAAAGACAATAAAGAAAAATACCAATTAAGGATCATAAGTTGATCAGATGTCAAATTCTCCCCACTAGCATCATAAGAATTGTATGGCTGACAGTAATGAGAATTTCTAATAAGATCTCAGCACCTACCTGATGTAAACTACTTTTCCATACTTGCTGAAAATTTCTTTGACCCAGTCATGATCAGCATATGGAGGAAGTCTTTCCTACATTAAGATAATGATAAAGAGCATTATAACTGGAAAAAAGATGTTTCTTTGTCTTTCCATGAGCTTGGAACAGAGAAAAAAAATTCTAAGTCACCTTAAGGAATCGAACCTTAGATCTTCAGATTCTGCACTCTGATGATCCCAAGGTCTTTGGTTCAAATCCTCATGGGGACTGAGACTTTTTCCATTGTCCCACGCTCATAACAGGACAAAAAGACATCTTTCTCTTCTCCATCACCAAGCTCAAAATGTAACCATCTTTCTCAAGCTATTAATGAAATCATTTCTTACAAACCATAAATCACTCATGGGCAATAACCCTTTACCCTTTAAAGTGACTAGCATCTAATTTCTCCTTACAATATCAACCCCAGAATAAAATATTTTAGGTCATGAGAATAAATAAAATGATCACAACCTAAAGAAGCTCTTGGTTGTTAAACAAATTCTCCTTGTCAATAACATTGAAAATGTATAGAGAACAGTATGGAGAATATCCTTACTGATGTTAGGGTGTAAAGAATTATAATAAAAGGTGGAGTTCCCAGGAACCTTTTCCACAAGATCATGCCAACAACGTCACAGAAAAACAGCCCTTCCTGTCATCTCCTAGTGTAGCAGGAGAATGAATGATGCCTAGGACAGACCTTCATTTTCTAAACAGCTTTTGCCTAGAATCATATGTTAATTTGCCTGGTTTACAAATTTAAAAAAAAGCATTTTTTTTTCTTAGCTCATTCTGAGTTTACAGTCTTATTGTATTTCTTAGTCAGTACATATGTAATGATTGGTCAATTGAGCAGGCCGTATTTCACTGTACAGCCTGCTAAATTAAAAAAATATGTTTGAATGGAAATCCTCCC